CTCGCCTCAGCGCCTGCAAGAGCTGTACTGCTTCCCATGATCAACGTACCAGAAATGGTGCTTCGCAAGGATTCAGGCTGCTGCGGGTGCAACATTTGTGTTGTTTCGCGGTGTTGAAGTCCCCGCAATGGCGTTCTGGCACGGTTCCAAATCGTCAAGACGCAGCAGTCAGTATGATCCGTGGCGTGGAGATCCCGAAGACAGTGTTTTGACCTGCCTCAATGTCTTCAAACGGTTGTCTTCCAACGGGGCAGTTCCGTCAATGTGAATGAACCTTGGACCCCCTGGGGCCCTCCGGGGGGGGGGGGCTCTCAAGGCCATTTGGGCCTCCCTGGAGAAAGTTTTTTTGCTGGGGGGGGAAGGAGGCAGGGGAAGGGAGCGACCGCGACGCAACTGGGCCTCCCTGGGGAAGGTGGGATCACCTTGGCCAGGGTCAACTCTGGCAACGCTCGGCCAGACCTGACGGCGTCACGCCAAACAGATACGGCGGAACCCTGCGAATCGTGAGCTCTGGAGGCCTGTCTTGGACCCTGGAGAATCGACCCGGGATAAACAACTGGTCCCAGGATGATGTTGAAAGGTCTGGGGGCACATGTCGTGAACAAACACGTGACGTCGATATATGGGCCCCCCACCCCTTCATCTTCGCAGACGGAGAGGGGGGGTCTGGAGGACGGGAGGGGACATGGGCAAGAGACGGGACAAAGGGACGGGCACTACCGATGGGACCACAGGGATGGGCAATACCGATAGGACCACCCTACGGGTCATAAGGAGGTGGTGGGGGAAGGGGGCGGCGGTCGATTTTCGATGGCTCTGGGTTCTTGGTGGTTTCTACAACTTTCCTCTTGTCGCGCACATCTGGCCATCTATATATCGGCCTATCTATATATGTATATATATGTCCATTGCGTATTTGTTATTCGACCTGGCATTATATTCCCCGCCACCACTGCATCGTTCTATCTATTCCATCTACAACCCACCATCGATGTGCTATGTTGCAACCGATCTAGCGATCAACCAGTCAACCACACACCTAATTATAGATCGGCATATATAAATATACACCTACATGTACACATATATAGACATATACATTTACCTAAATGCATATATATGTATATATATAATATACGTATATGTATGGGTATACGTGTCTACCTGCCCACCGATCTATACATATATATATATGTACATATATATAGAACATACTATGCATTCATCTCTCTCTCTAAATATATATATATATGCCGATCGATTTTATTATCAATGAACCCATCTATATTACTATCTATCGTGCGTTCAATCATCGAAAAACCATCGGGGCAACCATCGGGACAACCATCGGGAAAACCATCGGGGCAACCATCGGTGCAACCAGCGGGGCAACCGTCGGGACAACCGCAACCAATGGGACAACCGTCTATCGATCTATTATTCTATCTATATATGAACCATCAGGAACACCATCAGGACAACCGTCCGGACAACCATCGGGACAACCATCGGGACAACCATGAGGACAACCACCAGGACAACCATCGGGACAGCCATCGGGGCAATCATCGGGACAACCATCGGGGCAACCTTCGGGACAACCATCGGGACAACCATCGGGACAATCCCAACCATCGGGACAACCATCGGGACAACCGCCAGGCAAGATGGGCCCGAACACGAACCGACAATTCGAGCCTTCCGCCCCAAGAGGCCCCTAGGAGACCCCAAGAGGACCCCAAGAGAGCCCAAGAGGTCCCCTAGAAGCCCCACGAGGCCCCCAAGAGGTCCCAAGAGGCGAACCTCGCGGATCCGGGAACCTTCTGACGCTGGGAACTCCGGATCCCAAACTGGGAATCGGAATCGGGGAACCTGGTCGCCCATCGAAATCGGCCCAACCCGGAACCAGGGCCTGGAGCCAGGAGCTCAAATACCTGGCCGCCCAGCGAAATTGGCGGGCTACCTTTACATACTCTTTCAGAATCAGCTAGAAGCCTTCAGTATACGAAATCCAATCTCCGCTAAGACTCTTCCATTATCCGCTAGGATTCTTTCAATATCCGCTAGGAAGATCTGAGCAATTAAAAAAAATCCACCATACCGTCCAAAGAGGCCCTGAACAACAATGCTTCATGCGAATGCACGCAGTGAGTCGACATCAGGCTCGGCGTACTTGGTATGGGCGGTCAGTGCCCCAAGAGACCGAACGCGGCACTCCACGGCAAGGCGCGCGGGCACGGTGTCGCATTTCAGACCTGAGGCACGGCACGGCTCAGCATGCGGGCGCGGCACTGCACTCTGCGTTTGTCCCATTCCGGGCGCTATGCGCGGCAGCGCACGCCACGCGAGCACAGCACGGCGCGCGGCCACGGCACGGAACCTTTCTGGCATTCCAAAACCGAGGCACGGCACGGCACAACCTTTGCACTCTGGAACACAGGCACGGCGCTGCACAGCACACGAGCACGGCACGGCACGCGGGCGGCACGTATTCCACAGTCACGGCACGGCACAAGACGCGAATACACCACGGCAATTCACACGAGCACGGCACGGCAAGCGGGCCTCCCTGTGTTGTTCCGTTCCAAACTCCAGGCACGGCACGACACGGCACGGGGGGCCCGACACCGTACACGAACACGGCACTGGACGGGTACATGTTCTCGTATTCTAATTGGGGAAGACCTCTTCTGACCAGAACTGAAACCTCCTAAAGTAGTCGCTGTTTGAGCAAAAAACTCGCACCCCGAATGTCATCCTCGCCTTCCTCCTCCTTTCCCCCCCGCCCTCCCTCAAGCACATGCGGCCCGAGTCCCATCCGTAGCATTTAGCTTTGCGATGGGCCCCAGGTCGCGCCCATTGCACAGCAGCTGCCGGATGGCGAGGCAGTGCGGATCCGCTGGGTACGACTTTCAATATGCTGGCTCGGAAATGGAGTCGTATTTACTGCGCTCGAGGGATACCCATAGGATATGAAGCGCATGCCTTCATTTCGATACCTCATTCAATACCACATCAATGTGGCCATGTTCATCCGCGTGGTGGTACTCGTGTTTTCGGGTCGGAGCCACCCGTGGTCAGCGTTTATCCTAACGTTCAGCCTGCTGCTCGAGGTGTCTGGTAATTGTTTATCTTTCAACCTGTTGCTCACGGGCGGAGGTATTTCAATCTTGTCTCACGCACCAGAATATTATCTGGGCCGTGAAACTTCAATGTTTGTTGCTTGGAGGTGGCTTCCAAGTGTACGATGTCCTGCTTGCAATATTTCCTGGTTTGTCCGTGATATTTCACAATCGCTCTGTTTTGAGAGGTTGTGGTTGTCAGCCGTGGTAACTATCCCGTGGAATTCGTCTTCCGATGCGTGCGCGTGCTCATCCCTGTCGTCTCGTTGCTCCGCGTGCTGTGGTATCATATGATACCGCTACACGAGACGGCTGCAATTCCTGCACTTCCCCCCCCGCCCTCCCTCCCTCGAGCACCCCTGCCGTCGCCCGGAACCACCATCGAACCCGGCACTCACCCTCGCCAGCCAGCGCCGCCGCTCTGCCCTCCAGCTCCGGCGTGCGCCGCGCGCGGGGCCCTCTGGCCAGCCCAGCCGAGGGCCTGGACCGTGCTGACGCCGAGCGCGGCCAGCGCTAGCTGAGCTGCACTCTGCACGACGGCAGCTCCCCTCCCCACCTCCCTCCCCTCCACAATGACACAGTATGAATACTAGTCTCCTCTCTCCCCTGGTGGCGTCCGGGAAAAATTCGGCCCCCCTCCGCGTACTGGTTTTTTACACGCAGGATTCCCGGGAGTTGAGTTTTCGCTGGCTTGTTTTCAAAATGCTGATCTCGCTGAAGCGCTGGCCTCAGTTCCGCGCTTCCGCTCGTTCCGAATCGTGCTCCCGCTGCAGCGCTGGCGTCAGCATTCCCAACGCAATGCCACGGCATGGTTTTCCGTTCTTCCAAATCGGCCTCAAACTCTAAAAGATGCTCCCCCGAAACAACCATCGGAAGTGATTCCACATTCGGTGTCGATTCGTTGTTTTTTGGTGCCGCAGAAGCCCCCCCCCACTTTGGGGCGTCGCCACGCTATGCTATGTCAGGCTACGCGTCCCCATTTCCGCGTTTCCGCGCTTGTTTGTTTGTCAGAATGCTGCTCTCGCTGGAACGCTGGCCTCATTTTCGGGCTACCGCTCATTTCGAATCGTGCTCCCGCTGCAGCGCTGGCCTCATTTCCGCGCTTCCGCTCGTCCCGAAGCGTGCTCCCACTGCAGCGCTCGTCTCGAATCGTGCTCCCACTTTCGAGCGCCATGGCACGGCATGGTTTACCCTCCTTCCAAGTAGGCCCCAAAATCTAGAAAATGGCCTCCCGAAAAAAACATTGGAAGTGGTTACACATTCGGTGCCGATTCGTTGATTTTTTGGGCCGCAGAAGCCCCCGCCACCCCCACACACGCACACACGCGCACACACACACAAACACACACACACACACACACACACACGCACGCACGCACGCACGCACGCACGCACGCACACACACACACAATCACACACACACACACACACACGCACGCACACATACACACACACACACACGCACGCACGCACGCACGCACGCACGCACGCACGCACGCACGCACGCACGCACGAACGCACGAACGCACGCCCGAACGCACACACACACACACACCACACACACACAGACACAAACACACACAAGCACACACACACACACACACATTTTGAGGCGTCGCCACGTCATGCTATGGCATGCTACGTGTTGATCTTCAACAGCATGCTATGCCATGTAATGCTGTGCCATGTTGCGACATCCGATTGTGCGAATAGAGAAGAGATCTACGCCATGGTAAGGGATGGGAGGGAAGAGTAGGACGTCAGATATGACGCGAGCGCACCTAGCTTGTCATCCCTCCCTCCCTCCTTTCCTCCCTCCCTCCCGGCTCCACCTGCGGGCGGCAAGTCCAGTTCGGCGCGAGGGCCCACGCCCAGCGCCCCCGTCCCCTCCTAGGGCCTCGGCGGCACCAGAGTCGCCGCCCGTCTGTATTGTGTGGGCGATGATACAGAGCGCCTCGGGGGCGAGGGCGGGCGGGCGGGAGGGGAGGCGAGTTGCGTTGCGCCCTCGGCCCTCGAGGGTCGAGCTGGACGTGCGGGGGAAGGCGAGGAAGCGGGGTGTGCGGGGCGAGGGAGAGAGGGTGCGGGCGACGGGGATGCAAGAGGCTCGACGACCAGGAGGTTACCCCCCTCCTCCTCCTCCTCCTCCTCCTCCTCCTCCTCCTCCTCCTCCTCCTCCTCCTCCTCCCCCTCCTCCCCGTCTATCTCCTGATCCACTCCATGTGGTGGACGAGTCGCTGCCCCTACCAGTAGTGGACGGTCAAGGAAGAGAAGGAGGACGAGGAGGAGGAGGAGGAGGATGAGGAGAAGGAGGAGGAGGGAGGAAGAGGAGGATCCATAATCGATGTTTTGGCCCCTTTTGAAAACACGGGCCTCCACGGACCTCCAAAGGCTTCCGAGGGAACCTCCGCCCAGGGGCACGCCCGGCTCTGGCCACCACCGACGCTGCGCGGCCTCGAGAGGCTGGCCTCCCTCGTCATGCCTGGCACTGGCCGCCATCACCGCTGCGCGGCCTCCAGCAGCTTCCGCGAGGAGAGGCGGGGGGAGAGTAGGTACGAGGAGGCGAAGAGAAGGTGGTCGATGAGGCGCAAGAGGCGAGGACGCGCAAGCGTCTCAGAGGCGAAGGGCGAGAGGGACGATGATGAGGAGACGAGGAGGCCAGGGGCGAAAATGACGAGGAGGAGGCGGAAGAGGACGACGACCTGGCCCCCGTCGTTGCGCCAGGCGCGGGCCGCCATCGCCGTCGCGCACACAGCCTCGAGCAGTTTCTGGACGTCCAGCTCCTGCAAGTATCCGTCGTGGTC